CCCCCCAACAGTTGCTCACGTAATTTCCCAACTGGAATGTTTTGATCTAACTAAAGCACAGTGGAAATTGTAATTGGGTTATGCTTTGGGATCGGTCAGAGAAAGTTGTGTAAAAGGGGGTAAAGAAAGCAAATCTCCAGTTCTGTTTTTGTTCCAGTGGCCGTGCAGTGCAGAGCCTGCTGGAGTTCAAAACCAGCAGAGCTCTGGAGTGGCTCAGCATAACAGAACCCACATCACTGCTGGAGCGTACTGGACTAGCCCAGGCTGTTCGCAACAAGAGGACATTCAGGACTTCCAGGATCACCAACATCACAGTCGGAGGTAAGCCCGTGTTCGGGTGGCGGTCTGCAGGCAGCTGACTGAAGCCCTGGTGGCTGAGCAGTTTGGGAGGAGTCTGGTTGCCTTTTCATGCACATTGTTCTTAATATCTTTCCGTTCATTTCCTGTCATCTTTCTGCAGAAGACCGGGTGTTTGTGTTTGTCATCAATGTCAAAAATTGACACCGAGATGTCCTGAGTTTCTTCATTAACCTGAGAGAAAGTTCCTTTTTTTTTTTTTTTTTAACGTCTTTATTCAATTAACCCAGATACAGGAAAACTGATGTAAACATCGTAACTCAGTTAGCCTGACTCTGTTAAGCTCAAAATCTAATTATGAAAAATCTAATTATTCTACCTGGCTTGGTCTAACAAACTTTTTCTTCTTTACTATAGCGTGGAGTCATTTTATTTGTTTCCATTTTAATGTTTGGCATCAGAAAAAAATCTAAAATGCAGAAGTGCTGCAGTGTAGTTTAAATAGTCATTTGGTAAAAAACGCAGTAGGTTCAGTGATTCATTTTTGTACTGCAAGCTTGTTAGAGGCATAACATGTGAGGAGAGCACATGCTACAGACATCTTCACCAGAAAAGCAAGAGTGATGTCATGTAGCTTTAAGATGAGAATTATTCTAAAAGTGGGGAAACTTTCTAATAAATTTTTTATATTTCTCCAGGTGATAAAGTAAAACCTTTAAGATACTGAAAATGTGGCCGGTTCATTTCCATTTTCAGGGGATGCTCAGCCATCGAAACTCATGTCATGAAGCACTTGATGCGCATTTCTTGTGCTGATGTTAATGCCAGAGGAAGTTTGGAGTCGGAGTGTTGGTGACTTTTACACACTATGTACCTCACCACTTTGTGGCTTTATGTGATCGGTTACTTTGGTGACTGTTACAACTACCTGGTGTGGAGATCCCTTTTAAATGGTGGAAATCTTGGACGGAAGAGATTTGACAAATTGAATTATTGCAATGAAACCATCCTTGCAATAACAGTCCAACACTTGAATTCAGTTAACTCTTTAGAAAGACACTTTTTTTTTTTCACAACTCAGTCCAGGGCCACACCTGTGGTCACAGGACTGAAAACACCTGAGCTCAAAGATCAAGCGATGTAACCTTTTGTCCATACAGTGCACATACTTGTAACAATTTTTGAAATACGGATTACTGTTTAGACCAAATAAGAAACATTATCAGCTGGTTAATGGAGAACCTAATCAACAATTGTTAAGTTAAGTCTCAAGTATCTCAAGTACAACTGAAAATTCAGCCTTGTGACACATTAGCTTAATGTGTAATTGCATGATATTCACGTGACTACTAAAAACTTCAGTGCCTGTCTGATTTTTGGATGCATATATCATTACAATGAGATCACTTTATGATAAGAAAATTTTAAAAAAAATGGCACCACCTTTATTATTTTCTTTAATTCTTTTTAAACATGCCTTCCCCTCAGGTCTGCAGGGCGACATCTGTGACTGGTTGCTGCAGTGCTCTGCAGGATATAAGTGTGTTTCCCAGCCTGGCACTGCCAACTACAGCTGTTCCTCAGTCTGCCACTTTGACTACTGCCACCATCACGGCATCTGCACACACCATCCACACCAGCTTCCAGTTTGCCGGTAAGAACGTTAAAAGGAAAAGCAAATCTTTTTGTTCACCCAGGCATATTTTGTTTGCATGTGTAAATGACTTGTATTTGGGCATTAGCTGCCTTGCAGGTGACGATTTCTGGTTCATGGGTGAGAGGTGCGATGTCAGGATGACCCGCGCACGTCTCATTGGTGCGTGCCTTGCCATCTTGCTCATCATAGTGACAGTGATCATCATTTTGGCGTTTGTGGCAGTGCGACGCTATCGAGCAATTCTGATTCAGGCCAAAGTAGACCAGACTCGCAGCAGGTAGGAAAAGGCTTTTATTAAGACGCACCTACAGTTCAGGCGTATGCATATTTTGTTAATTATACAATTTTTCTAATTTTGCCTTTCTGCACCACCACAGTGGATTTTTTTTTATTATTATATTTATATATTATATATTAATTAAAACTGAAAGATTGCTCTTCAGTCACATCTTGTTTGCTTTTAGATCCATTGTGGTTTTTACTGCAAAGGTTACATTTTTTTTGGACGATAAGTACTTCCATAAACCTTAAAATTTATAGTAAAAATGTGCATATTTGTGACGTACAGTAAATCGCAGTAGTCACAATAGGTGAAAGTATTCTGTTGTGATCCACGAGAGAAAAACCAGAGACTGACATAAACGCACATGCTCTTCAGTAACTGTAAACACTCATTGCCACTAGATGGCACAGTCTAGCTGACAACGCACATACTAAGGATAAAGGTGGAACTGGACTGCTGGCTCAATCTGAATGTCTAACCTCCACATATGCTGACAGCTGAGCACACAGACACAGTCATTGATACTGTGACATGTTTCATTAGGGTGCTGGGCCAGGAGATGAGGAAACCTATTAGACAAGATGTTCCTGAATGGAAATGCCTGCTACACAACTAATATTAGAGGTGTATGCATGGTAATATTTGTAAATCCAGCATAAATACAATCTCAATTCTGTGTACTTTCTTTTCATATTAATGTTTGTTTTTAAACCTCGGGTGTTCCTCCAAGTGTAGTCTGGAAAAAATGACTTTGTGGTTTTGGATGGTTCTAATATGATGGCGTGCAGAGACTTGGATTCAGCTTCATGAAAGTCTACCTACAAGGATTCTTGTGTCGGAGCACTTTTCATTTGAACCTTAATAACAAACTGAGACTGCAAGAGGCAAAAGCATATTGATCTTAATCAAGATACTGTTTGTTTGACTGAATGTTGAGCATGTACAAAGATCAGACAGGAAGTAATAAGTCTGAAGCTAAGCCTTAAGTCCAGTATGTCTAGAGTAGGAAATGTGTTTTCCAGGAAATTGGGGCCTCTTTGGAGTCATCTTTTTAAACATCCCAAGTATCTGATGATTGCCCGAGTTTAGAGAAACTTTGCAAAGCATATAATTTAGCACAGGAAAATATTTTAAAATTAGCCTAAAATAAGTTATTCCAGAGGATTTTTATACAAATAATGGGGAGGATTTACCTTTTATAACTTTATACATCTTAGAGCAGTAATCTCCTGCCAGTATACACAAACCCTGGTTGTAAACTAGAGTTCATTACAAAACTGCTGACAACTACTGGTTTCAGGGCAATGGCTGGGTTTTAAAGGTGTTTATAAGTGGAACTTATGCTATTAAAATAACTTGGAAAAATCACCTGTGCCCATTAAATGGGGATCAAGCGGTATAGTTTTATATTGTTCTTGATCTGCAATGTTTTAAACAAATCTGTTAATGTTTCTTCTTACCTGTTGATCTATTTCTGGTAAATGGAAAGTTATTCACTGGCAAGGAGCAGTCATGTGTCACTGTGACACATCAGTTCATTCATGAAACATAACATCATCTGTATGAGCGGGGTCATCTCCGACCTTTCTGTTGTCATAGGAGTTCTTTGTTCCTTGGTGAAACTGAGCAGCTTTGTGAAGAGCTTTTAAGAAGAAACTCTTTTTAGGGGTAAAATAAGAGCTTCTATGAATGCCACAGAGATAAGGTTCATGACCCCACATTGTAAAAGGGCTGTCTCCCATCGACTAGGTTGATATATTTTTTTTTTCCTTCTTGAAATTTTGTTCATGTGAAACGTTTAAAGCTGGCACAAAATTTTTTAAAAAAAAAAAAAAAAGGAAAAAAAAAAGGAAAACCCAGATTAGATTGCAAAGAGAAGCAACAACAACAAGCATTGTACCCTGTGACCTCTCACGATTTTGTTTGCGCAGCTATCGCAGATTCAACCACTTTGATGAGCTGTCAGGTCGCTTCTGGTTGCGCTCGTGGGCGGGATCAGCAGACTCATTGGACAATCCTGCCTTCACACGCTCCGATGAGTTGCTGCATCTGCGAGCGCTTGACCGCCCCTGCTGTTACCACGACGACACGCTGTCACTGGCTTCCACCTGCCCCAGCCACGGAACACGAATCAACACAATCTACCCCCACAGGTATATACACACCTCTGAGCGCGCGCGCGCGCACACACACACACACACACACACACACACACACACTCACACACACACACAAACACACACACACACACACACACACACAACACACACACACACACACACACACACAAACACACAGTTCATTGTCTGACAGTGAGTTGTGTGTTCCAAAATGTGGGAGAGTTTTCAGTGAAAAGCTTCTCTGTTCTCACCAATGCCACTCTTGAAGCTTAAAAACAAGCTTGGTTCACAGTTATCAGTGATGGTCACTGTGGTCACCTTGGAATATTTACATGTTTTAAAGCCAGTAAAGCTAAAACTGTTTCTTACTGACATTTTTTTTTTTTTTTTTTTTGTATTGACAGCATATGGAATATAAGGAATTCTATATTCGGATTCTAAATCCCATGTTACTTTGGACCCTAAGGTCAAACTTTCATAAAATGTATTTTATCTTAAAACTGCTTAAAATTCTTCTGCCTGTGTTTGCATTGGCAGCATTTAGGAAATGATCCTGGTACATGGGGATTGTAAATCTCACATCATAGCTTGCATCCAAATATCACGTAACATTTGACCTCTGACTTCCCTTTTACATTTCAAATCTGCCTTTCTTTCAGTCTTACCCCAAAATGTGTTATAGCTTTAAAGAAATCGTTGTCAAGAGAATGAGCTGCCTAGTAAGAAATACACTGTAATAAAATATTATGTAATCGGCTCAAGTTATTCATGTCCCAGTCACTCTCCAAATGCTCCAGAATGGCATCAACAGCATATATCCAGGTCAGGTGGGGAATATCAGACTCTAGTAGCCCGATAAATCAATTATTAAAATAAGAAGAAGAAATTGAAACTAATAAATCACCCACCGTATAGATGTTTTGGAGAGGGGACAATCTATTTTTGTAGTGGACATGTTGTTGTTTTTTAAAGGCTGTAAAGCTGGCCATTTTAACATGGATGGGAGTCTGTGGACATTGACTCGCTTTTGGAGCCAGCCTCAAGTTACCATTAGAGAGCATGCAGTATTTGGCACTTCAGCAGAAGTCGCAAATGCCTTCTGTTCGCCACCTCTGCATCTCACTAATACATGGTAGTTTCAATAAAATGTCAGATTTTGATTCATAAGCACAGAGTCCAAATTTCTAGTCAGTTCCTGGAGAGTTAATGTTGAAATGGAGTTTCTAATTAAACTCTGTGAGGCATTAGCGTGAGCTCTAAATGTGTGTGAGGTGCTTTTAATTGACTGTTCCCACAGCAGCTAACGCTAATGAATGTATCATGTGCAGCAGAGGTTTCTCCAAGAAGTAGGATGTTAGGGCATCAATGGACTGGGCCTCCAAAATAATCCAAACTAAACTCACTTCATATAGTTTGGAATAAGTTGAACTGGATAGGAAATGAAATGAACTATCCATAATTAACTGCAGGACTTAACACAACATAATAATTTGTACATAAATGCAAAATACACTTGAGTCTAGTTTAAATGTTAATAAGTAATCTCTCTAAAAACCCACTCATTCAAAGATTTCACTACTCACTTCCCTAACTGTTGCTTAAAATAGCTACTAATTTGAGCTTGAAGTGTTTAAATAATGTAAATAATCCTTTTGCATCCTGTAGTTCCCAGTATGGATGGAGGGGGAGTGAGATGAGCATGGGGGATGGTGTGCTGGACTCGGGTAAGGCCAGTGACCTTTCAGTGTGTAGCTGGCCAGTGGAACCCATTCACTGGACTCCATTTCCACTTCTGCAGCAACTGGCTTCTCACAGGACACCCACAGTGAGTGTGTGACTGTACATGTGGTTTCCATGAGAGTTTCGGTAAGATACAAATGTCTGCGTGGTTTCACAGTTTGAATGATGCGATGTTTCTCTATGAAACCAGGTCAGGGTGTCACGACCACGGTCCTACTGTGAAGGCATGGAGCTTGTAGACATGGGGAAGAGCTGGACTGCTTGACTTGCATATGGAGGATTCAATCTGTTCTGACACTGGTTTTTACAGTTTATTAATGCATTGTAAAGTTAAAATATTTGTGTTTTGTTAATAATTTAAAAAAAAGTAAGGCAGTAAATGTATAAATGTGTACACCTTTCTTTGAAAGATTAAATCTGTTTCTGATGCTGAGATGTTAACTGCATGTCTGTCATGTGTGGTACAAGGTCTTGGAAAATGTTCTACTGTTACTCAGGGCATCAATATATTGTATTTACTTTTGGAATTAAAGCCATCAAAGGATATTTATACTCTACTTACTTTCAATAACAACTGAAGACTTTACACTTACGAATACAATAATAAAATAAAAACACAAAGATGTTCTCACATTTTAGTACAGGCTAATTGATTTCAGTACTAGCTGAAATATTTTTAGTTACCACCCCTGCTTCCAAGGAGCAGGACTTTTTTGTAATTTTTCCAAGTGGTCCTGAACAATAGTTCTCCAGGCTTTCTTCAAAGTTCCTATTTGGACACTGGCTGCTTCCTGACAGGAGAGATGGATCAGGATCTTCACCTGATCCAGTTGATCCATCAGTGGAAAGGTCAAGAAGTCATAGTTAAGGAAAGGAAACTGGGAGAAAAGGGTGAAGTGTGCCTAATTTCATAAGAAGTGTACTGAAAATCAGTGGCAGAAGGTCTGATGAAGGGGTAAATCCAAACTGGAATTTATGTATGGTTTTTTTTGGTTCACATCATTGTCTTTTTATGAAGGAGGTAGGGAGAGCGCTACCACAGTGAGTGTCTACATTAATCTGTAAAACACATTGGAGGCTCTGTCATCATTTGGAGCTGCATTTCAACCAGTGGTGTTGGAGATCTTGTCAGAATTGATGGAATTATGAACACAGAAGAAGTGCTGTCAAATTTAGATCCACCATGCAATACCATCTGGAAAGCATCTAATTGGCAACAAGTTTATTTTTCAGCATGACAGTGATCCAAACACACCTAATACAGTAAATGCATACCTGGGTAGAAAAACACACAATGAAAGATTATGAGTCGGCCTCCCCAGAGGCTGGACCTCAACATTACTGAAGCAGTGTGGGATCATCTTTACAGAGAACAGAACAAAAAGCAGTATAACAGAGAAACAAGAAAGCTTTGAATGTCCTTTAGAAAGCCTCCAGAACTATTCCTGAAGATTACTTAAAGTATGAGAAAGCTTGCCTAAGAGTTCAGACTATGTTGGAGAGTAAGGATTGTCATACAAAGTATTGACTTTCGAGTTCCTTAGAATTGTACAAACTCTGTTTTTGCCTAAACAAAATATAAAGAAATGAGGTGACGCAAGCATAATACTGCATATCATTATTGTTCCTAATCTTGTAGCCCTGTATCTCATCTGTTAGGGGCCTAAAAGAAAGGTTGTGTGTCCCTGTGACTCTAAGATAGGACATAATATTTTAGAATTAAAAATTCAGTAAGCTTAAAGGTTGACAGAAGACTTCGTGCTAATGCCTTACATTATACACATGAGATGCATTGTTATTTCACAGTAATAAATGTGCTATTATTTACTAAATGCGGTTTCTCTCATACCACACATACACGAGCCCTGCCCTCTCAATGCTGTGTATGAAACTCTGCTGAAATGTGACCATTAAACGACTGGAAACATGGTGAAGATTGAAACAGGTATAGTATGCATACTGAGCATACATGGTGCTCACATACAGAAAAAGAGAGTGGCTGAATTGGAGACTTAATGGGAGTTTAAAGGAAGAGGGTGGGGAGAGAAGGGGATGAGTGAGAAGTGGACAGAAGCTACCTGCCAGCTTCTTCCATATACGGTCTTAGTCAGAGCTGGCCTTACCCAGGACTGTGAGTTTCTCTGACTGTGTGAGTGAGCAATGCAGGGAGGGAGTGCCTACATTTGTGTGTTGTAATGCGTGCATGAGGCATTCACGCTGCCTATTTTTGAAATTGCTCAAGCAAAGGCGTGAGATTGATAAACTACTGTCTGGATAGAGAACAAAGTTTAAAAGATTATTTTGTAAGATACATTTAATCATTTAAAACTGTGATTGAAACACAAATCGGATAAAGAATACAGAAGAAAATGTGAGCGGTAAAAGACAAACATGGCCTTAAAAAGGGAGATTCATTCATTTCCTCAGAGTGGTCACATGACCGGAGCAGCGCATTCTTCCCCCCATGTGACTCTCTCCAATATCTCCTTATATGGACGTCATCCAAAGGAACTCTTAAAGGGATGGTGGTGCCCTGTGTGTGTGTGTGTGTGTGTGTGTGTGTGTGTGTGTGTGTGTGTGTGTGTGTGTGTGTGTGGTGTGGTTTGTGTGTGTGGTTTAGGTAATTAGGATGATAATGCTGAGCGGAAAAGCCAGTTCTCTGATCACCTGATTGCCTACCTACACCTAGCTGTGTGTGTGTGTGTGTGTGTGTGTGTGTGTTGTGTGTGTGTGTGTGTGTGTGTCTGTGTGTGTGTGTGTGTGTGTGTGTGTGTGTGTGTGTGTGTGTGTTGTGTTTTTCTGTCTTGGTCATTCTCCATCTGTAGAAGTGAGGCACTTTAAAAGCTTGCTTCCTGTGCCTTTTGGTGATCCAGCTCCCATATATCCTTATTAGGAACACACAGGGCCTGTGAGAATTCCGAGTGTAAGTTTATGAGGCTTTGTCCGGTGCCCTTATTGAGTTAAAGCCCATCCAGCCACCTAATCTCTGGTCAACTTATAAAATGAGCCTTGGAGGAGGATTTTCATTATAAAAATTAAAAAAAAAAAAAAAATCAACAAAGAATTGAAATAGTTTCAGGCCAGAGGCAAACAATGGTGTGTGAAATACCTGCCTGTGTGTAGGCTGTATGCATACCAGAAGTGAATCATGTTCCTGAGTAATCAATCCAGGCCTAATTGTTTTTATATTGACACCTAATATAAGTATGTTCTGAAAATAACACGCCTGTTTATCACACGTCATTCACAAGATTAGCCCCGTAAACTCAATTGCACAATTCCTGCGAGGTGATGAAAAGGTAAGACATTTACAGTCTCAGTTTCAGTTTTATTTGTCATATGCAAGTTAGCACAGGGTAAACATTGCAATGAAATGATTTGACGCAGAAAGACAGTACTCAGCAGATGGTACAGTAAAAAATAGTAAAGAGCAAAATATAATAAAATATATAAAAAAAAAAATTTAAAGTTAACAGACTAAATATATATATATATATATATATATATAGAGAGAGAGAGAGAGAGAGAGAGAGAGAGAGAGAGTCTCGTTACAGTCATGCCCTAAACATTACCGCAATTCAGCCTGGATACATGCATTACTGTCAGTCTGCACTGTGTGCGTTTGTGTTTGTGTGACGCTGGTGTGCCGGGGCAGAAGAGTCAGATAGAGGGTTAACCGTGCTGTCAGTGACCCTGAGATTAAACACCATCCCCAGTCCTGTCACCACAAACAAGCATCCTGCAAACAAATGGGAAATGGAATGGTGAAATCCTCTTCTGAAGCATTCCCTGACCCCGTGAATAAAATTAAGAGCACTCATTCATGGGTATATTATATCACTGAGGCTATAATCAGGATGATCCTGGCACCGTCACAATGTAGAGGATGTAAAAACGACGTAACTATAGGCTGGATTAATTCAGTCTATTAAAGTAATAACTAATACATGCTCAGGGACCATTCAGTGCTTTGCAGCAGGGGTTGTGGGATTTGTCATCCACTAGTCTGTATCCCACTTATGTATTATTAACACATTATGGCAGACAGTTTAAAAAAATCAGCAGGTTTACTGAACACTGAACGACCCCGGATTGATAACTTTTAGGGAGGTATATGGGTTAGTTTAGTGGAACTTGTCCCCCCACTGCTATGTCAGAGCTCACAAACCATGATCTGCATGCGCCACACCCAGTGGATGGAGCCGAACCAATCAGCGGGCGCCGTGCGGAAAGTTCTCCTTTTATGGAGAGGGGCTGCAGCACGAGCCCTCATAAAAATCCTCCACTTTATTGGCCTTCATTGCAGTCAAGTTCAGACACTACATTCTACCGGAGTGTAGCGCTCAGTCACAGTTCTACACCGAAAACCCTCCCTCACACAGGTAAGACAACTGCGGAATGTCGGTGGAAGTTTCTTCCTCACATTTTAACGCTTTAATGTAACATTTTAAACAGCGGGTGTTTTCTTTTTATATATATATATATATATATATATCTATATATCTATATATCTATCTATCTATCTCTCTCACTCCTTAGCTTACGAACCAAGTCTTTTTCTCATTCGAGACGTCTTTCAAGCTGAAGCCACTTGCTAGGCTTTACAGTGTTCCTATTATTTTGACCGCCACAGTTTTAACCATGTAACGGTTCGGTTTAGAAATGTGGTGACATGTTGCCGCTTATGTTTAAGTAGGTGTGAAATAACCTTGCCACTCGATGGTGTCATCACTTTGTATTCCGACAAATCAAGACTACGTGTTAAAGGAAAAAAGCTTGACCTTCTCGCTTACATGTAAGCATCCACTGTGGCAGGTCTGCAGCTCTGGTGTCTCCGGTTTCAAACATTCAAACACCAGACCAGGCAAATGCAGATTAGATGGATTAGGCTTATAGAGACTTTACTAATTTTGTAAGTAGAGCTTCTGAAATTAAGGGTTTTTGCTGTGTCACTGCAGCTATCAGTTAATGTGCAAATCCTGGTGCGTCTGCTTCAAATAAATGTGCGAAGTTGGCTTTTTGTTCGCGTAACCTTGCAAATGCGGCAGTCACGACGTTCAGATATATCAGATTTAACTGTGATTTGTAGAAGTTCGTTCAGCTGCTAAAGGGTTTTCTGTGTGGTTAACGGTTGTGGTGAGCTCGGTGAAGGGAGTGGTCGCCTGTCGGTGTCATTTGAGGTTTAGCGACACGCGGGGCGGCTTCCGGGCCGGTCTACAGCAGTCTCTAAGCTGCATTCACTTTTGCCTTATATGGCCATGGCCAGCCCGAGTGAGAAACTGCCTTTGTTTCTCAGCTCTGGATTAGGACTCAACCTTGCGCCACTGCGACATCCAGCGTCCGGTCTCAATAACGGCAAGACTTCATCCAGGCTGTCTGCCAGATGTATCGCACACTGCTGCTGAACATTAGGATTAAAAATCCTTTCCTCCT